ACATATCACATATATAATATACAAGTTATATTTGGGCAGATATTTCTTAAATATTTCCTGGTAAATACCAGTACTTATATATTAAATATTTCCTGGTTGTCACCAGTACTTACCCATCAATTTATAAAAAAAATGTAGAATAATTATTAAAATGTAATTCCTGGATGTAACCAGTACTTAAATGACTTAAAAGTAATATACCAAAGAAAAAAATGGGCAGTTCAAATTAAATATCTGGGAAAAAAATCAAAGGTGTTTATTTACCCAAAACAAAAAAAATGTCAACAATTAATACCCTTAATCAATTACCAATTACCAGATGACTTGATACTGCTATGCCGTCCAACCAAATGACTTACCAATCAAACAAACGCCAAAAACAAAATAAACCGAATAAATCACACGACAGCACTCACTTTCAAACAAAAAAATACTTTCACGCGAATTGGTTCTGGGTGTTAATTTGTTAGTTTGTAGAGAAGTAAAGATAGAAAGATTAGAAATAGAATGCAATATATATATTCAATACACAAAGTAAACAAACACAGTAATCAAGATCTTGAATTTTTTTCTAAATATCTTTTTCTATGTCAACAAAATAATTGAAAGACCCTAAAGTTTTTTATATCTATAATAATATTTACATGCATTTACATACACAAAAATAAAATATACACAAAGATATTTACAAACACATAACAAATAAACAGTAGCAGTATTTTCAAAAAGATTTATCAAAATATAAACGAAATGGAATTAAGTTTCTTGTATCTAGTATTAACTATCCGAAATTTATGGTTTATCCGAAATTACCTAAAGAAAAATATGAAAGATCGCGAAATTGTGTGACAAAATAACATTATCGTTGTTTACATCAAATAAATCAAATGACACGTCCTATTTAATGAAAGAATCAAAAATTTAAATTGAAAGCAACTGAATTAAACCAAAAATCTACTTAATTTATGTAAAAATATAAAGAAATTTACCTTGTTAGTAAATTTTCCGAAACAGGTCACACACAATTTGGAATATGGGCCGAAAGTAGTACCTAAGTTAACAAAGAAAAATAGTTCTTACTAAAAATGAAAAATACCGCCAAAAACAATAAAAAATACACAAGAATAAAATATGTACTTACATGATTATAAAAATTCCACAAACACAAAAATAAAAATCACAAAATATCACAGTTTAGAGTTCCAAATTCCTCCGCGTCCTAGTTATTGCACTGTTTATATTTACACGTCCTCCAGCTGATTACTATTTACAATTAAAAGTTTATATATACATGTGTCTGGTCGTTGTGGCGCAAAAGAGCTCTATGAAAAAAAATGATGGGGGTGGGGGAATGGGGGTGGGAGGTATACCTATGAGATGAATACAAATCTCTTCTACTGCTGCCTTGGTTGCCGCGGTGAGGTCTCTGCGATCTTCCTGGTCCTTAGATTGCCACTGGATCCCAGGTGGCCTCCAACCAAAAAACAGCTCGCCTGGCTCGTCTTCTGAAATCTCGTCGGGGAGCCAATTTGTAGTGGTGGAGTTTCTTCAGTAAAACAACAGTGTATGATGTTTACTATGTTTTATTCAGGTATAGAAGAAACCTATAACAAAATAAAATGATTATAATACAAATAGCAAAAAGAAATATTATACAATAGAAAATTCATGAATTGCATATTTCACAATTACAATAATTACAATATATACATTATAAACATTTCACAATTACAATTAAAATAAATATATACATACCAGGCTTTAAATAGATGAGATCTTATTTCAAATAAATATAGAGAATACAAATATTTCTATAAAGAAATAAATGAACTAACTTTAATGTAAATGCAAAGAATGTGTTTCCACTTTGACTGCAATGAAAGGAGTGGTCAGTTACCAAGAATTATTAGTTATCCCAGAACCAAATCCTCTAAAAATAACTTGCATACCAAAACCAATCATCCATCACTAAACTTGCAAAACCAGTTGAATCACCCATAACAAAAGGAACAAAGACAAATATGAACACATAACACCACAAAAGATTTGGTTGGCCTTTAAGGGAAATAACTACCGTATTTTTATAAAAAGTGAAGTTGGCTAAATTTAACCTTATCTACACTATGGTAAATCTCTGTTGTTTATTTTCCGTAGCCATTGCCGAAGTACTCTTCATTTGAAGATGAACGGGTGAAAGCACGTGTCATGTTTCTAAAATATACATTAGGTTCTCGGGGTCGTTTCATGATTATTTTACAAAGCTGAATCTACAAGATGTAACAGTTTAGTTGCAATGCATGATGGAAAACTTTAAAAAATGAAAAATAAGCAACAAAAACACCGAGTCACATGGAGTAGATCTAGAAATTGCACTTACTTTTAAGCTGAATAGAATCCCTATGAACTTTATAAACGTCACGACAAATTCGCATTCTGAAGATTCCTTCATTGCCATGTTTCTATCCAGTTCCGTAGATCCCACCTTTTTACTTCAAAAATCCTGAATGACATGACTCCAACACTTTTGATGATCGAGATTTTTTAAACTGGTAATCCCTCTCATTATTAAAACATTGTTCAATTTGTAGTTATCTGGGTTAGCAAATGAAATATGTAAATGAAACACATCATAATTCAGCATGTTCCAAATCCATAATTCAAGAACAGCCCATCAATTTAAGTTGTCAACATCACAATGCTTTCTGGACATTTGTTTTAAATTGTGAGACGGAAAGTTAAATCTGTATTTACGAGCTTAAAGTGTATATGCCTACGTTTGATTGCTTAAACTAGAAAGTATGATATTATATTCTATAATTTACATTTTCCTCGAAAGCGAGTCTGTGTTCTCTCGTTAGCGAGGGAGTTAGTTAAAGTAGACACTGTGGTAACAAGCAAACCAATGCTGAACGTATAGTGAATCAGTTTTCCTTTCTTTATATTTTTTGAAAGATTTGCATGATAATGTCGTATTTGTTAGCGATTTTTTGTGAAAGTTGAAACCTACGGAAAGTTTTAGCGCATTTGTGACATCGCACCCGAAATAAGAAGGGTAACATATTTTTGTATCCCATCGATTTATTTATTTTTGAATAGACGTGATACACACTTATGGACAGAATTCAGACAACTACAGAATTATGTAAAATAAACATTTATTAGCGAAGAACCATTTTTTATAGTCTTCTAGCTAGTGTTCCCGCTCCCCTACGACGCGTTGCGGTATTCAAGATACGCGCTTGATTGAAAAGCTATCTAATCAAATCACTTCATTGTTCTTTTTCTCTTAAAAATATAAAATACGACAGTATATCATGGTAATTAATTAAATCTTTGTGTGTTAGAATTTATAAAGCGGTTACTGATATTTTCACTTCAAATGATTTTGATTATTTTAAATAATGGTTTGCTAGTAAAATTGCCTTTTTGACACCAACTTTGTTCTCATTTTTCATTTTAATGATAACATTTAGCTATTGATCAGTAAGTAAATAAGAATAATCAAATTTTAATAATTACCGAGTACATTTCACGCTTATTGTGAGACGAACCCTAAATGACGTCTATATGGGCGCCGCCATTTTGAAATGGACGTAACGTCAGGTTACAACGTAAGTCAACGGGAAAAAATATAATTTTAACATTTATAGTTTCTATTGGCCTATAAACTCCTTTATGAAGGATTTATTTTATCTGATGGTTCGCGTAATCAATTTACCTCACTAAGGTCGCACTGTTTCAGTACCACAAATGCATTTTAAAATAAAATGACGGACTCACTCATAACAATATTTTCAAATAGCTTATTCTGTACACCATGGTGGATGGCTTTTTTAAAGTGTATAAAGCTATATCTTTGGTGTTTTTGGATGTCAAAAATATTGTTTATATTATAATTAAAATAGCTACAAAAACATAAAACAAAAGAAATATGTCCATATATTTTAATGAAAGCGAGTCGATCATGTGTTATATAATCGCTTAACCAACTAAAAAAATAGGTGAATATTTTGTTCTGGAACATTTTATTCTGATTTACGTACAACATTCATGTATGTTAAATGATTAGATTATTTACATATTCCTAATAAGGGTAACTTTACATTAAATGTGTGCTGTATTTGTTTGTTTTTTTTTTTTACTAAAACATGTAATGTGTAGTTGTAAATGTGAAAGTATGCTTATTATATAGCTAGAAAAAAAAACCCTTCAAAAGTTTGCAGCAATTAATTTTTTTTTGTAATTTGCATGAAATAGGAAAGTGATTGAAGAAAGTAATATTGATATCGAGTACTTTTTATATGCACTTTTTAAACTTGATTGTTGTCAGATTGCCGTTTTATTAAATATAAGAGATAAACTATGAAATATATCTATAGTAGCTTACTTATTCATTATGGCAATATATAGTTGTTTTACAATGGGCATTATTCTGAAAACTCTATGTTATTATGATGTCCCTTTTTAACTAAAAATTGCTTATTAAGGTGAATGTTTTCAAAACTGTTAAATATTTTCAAGAAACTTTGCATACTTGATTATAACGTGAGTGTATTTACTGAGCTGCGAATGGAGCGTATAAGACTAGGAGCAGAACCTTAAAACATGTACTTTTATAACTGTTGATAATATAAAATTGTACAGAAAAGGCTTAGAAAAAAGGAGATCGGGTCTGTGTCGATTTCTTAATGCTGATCTTGATAAATTCTATATCAGATACTTGTTTTGTATTCTATGTGCCATGTTTTCAATTTCAATTTGCGTGTCTTCTTAATTTCTTTAAACGAAACAATAACTGTGAAACAAAATACTGCCCTGCGAATTAACAAATATGCGAATTTAAAACCAATGATCATATTGATAATAAATAGTCCCGATTGTTTTAGGGACTCTAATATTTAAAAATACTATGCGATTCAAAGTTTATCTGTTAAATGTTTGATATTTTCAAACTAGAAAGCGGAAGAAATATCTTGCTCTCTTCATATTTTTCAAGGAAAATGTGCATTGAGGAGGTGTCGGATAAAGATGGGAGTGATCCATAAGTTAAAATAATGAAGTGTGCATATTATCAACAATAATTAATGTAATAACATGATAAAAAGAAAATACCATGCTTGTGTAAGATATAATTTGCTTATTGATAGCCGTTGCATTAAACCGCATCCAGTGCTCTGGTTGCACAAGCAAAGGACAAGGATAAAGCGTAAAACATATTGCATGAGAAAAGTGTTTGCATGGCTTTCACCGCCTAATTCTCCCACCACAGGGCGGTTATTTTGCGTTCCTAAATATTTTAAATGACAGGCTATTAGCTTTACATAATGCCGAGGCATAATTTACTATGTGAGTGATATTATAAGTATGTTTGTCTATTCCATTCCAGCTATCACACCATCACTACAATATGATAATCCACCAAGCCAGAACCAAGACCTCGTTCAAAATGCAGTGACTTATAAATGTAGCACACGATGCGCATATCCTTCACCCAAATTCACATGGTATTATAGTAAGGTAATATATATTTAAGATACAATTTTAATTACATGGTTTCTAAAACTCTTTTAATTAATGTGTATTTTTTTACTTGGTTCAAAGGAGAAAAGTATTGAATTCCGTTTAAGTTTGTGGCATTTATATACAAATGAGTAAAAAGTGACGTAAAAAAGTGAGATAGATGTATATATATTCAATAAATGTTATATTGCATTTACAGACAGGTGGGTCACGTCAAGAATGGTCAACAACAGCACCTGTAACCGATAGGACTGGTGGTTGTACTGATTCTGAGAAAATATATACATCTACAATAACTCTGCCAAGATATACAGTGTTTACTGATAATACAGATACCAGTGTGAAGTTTCAGTGTGGTGCCATATCAATTACTGGGGCCGAAGATCAACGTTTTACACAAGCGTCTGTTGATGTTAGATTTGCAGGTAATTTTCTAATACACTTTTGCTAACAATTGAAGGAGTTAATTTGTAACATTCTGTAAAATTGTCTTTTTGAAAAAAAAAACAACAAAAAAAACAAAACACTTTATGGTTAGATGGTGCTTTTCTATAATGAAGAAATACAATTTTTGAAAGTAAAGTATGTAATCATAAACGTGTCTATCTTTTGAACAATTTGGTTCAACGTTTTTGGGACCATTGTTCCCAATAGTTTTATTTGATGATACAAATAAACATTTCATATTTACCCCACATAATTCTTCTAGTTTTTCATTTGATTCATTTCGCTATAATGTACTTTGCATGTGTTTTTTGTGATTTTTGCTGCCCTGTTGGAACAATTTCCGGAAAGCAAGAATTTTCAAAGAAAATATTGGCAATTTTGTGTTGCACGATTATATATAAAAAACATGTAGATTCTATAATTAATAATTACCTTTTTACTCTAAAATGACAAAATCTTTCGTTAGGAGAAACAATTTATCCCAGAAACCAACATTCTTTAGTTGTCATATTTCTAATTTGTCAGTAAACTAAACAAAACATTATATCACAAATATTTCAATTAATTCCTCTTTTGGAAAAATGCGGCCAAATCTAAATATATTAAATAGGTTTTGAATGTCTTCTTAAATAATGAAAATCTAAAATAATGTGTGTATGTTGAAAAAGACACTTTACATTTTTATTTAGCCGAATTCACTGTATATGTCCGATTCACAATAAAAGTTGTTGATGTTGTTGTTGTCTTTTGGATGAAGAAACAATTGTGTCTGTAATCAATTTGCTCACAATGTTAGATAGATTCTTTTTTACAATTTGCCTAACACACACACACACACACACACACACACACACACACACACACACACACACACACACACACACGTACGCACGCACGCATGCACGCATACACACATGTACGCGCACGCATGCAACACACAAAACGCTTTTCAATGTTTAACTTTATTTTGTTACTATTGCCTTTTATTAATAAAACAACATTATTAAATTTTTTCATTAACTCTGCAATTATTCAGTTTTACTGTTCAGTCTACCGAGCATACACATAGATGATATACATAGTGATAAAAGAGGATACCTTTTTTACTTCAGTACGTGTTTCAACAGTGACATTAAACAATGGTAATTCAATTCCGTCAAATCCATTGGAAGTAAACAGTGGGGAGCCTCATACATTGACATGTACATCAAGTGGCAGCAGACCAACAGCAACTATCATCTGGTATTTTGGAGGCCAGAAAAACAAAACAGAAATTACTAGGATATCTAACTTTACATTCACACCAGAAAACACGGATAATCAGAAACAAGTTTATTGTAAAGCATTTAACTTACATCCAGAAAGCCAAGCTGTGTCTTCAAACATTGTGTCACTTTATGTAAAAGGTATTTCCAATCCGAAAAAATATGTTCATCCCCATTTAAAGAATATTTAAATATACACAAAAGAAGCGAGTAACTATCAACACTTTTATCTTTGCGTTCAGTTCAGTATACTTTTGAATAATTTGTTTTGAGGTTTGCAATGTACACTATGAAAATCAAACTGTTTTTGTATAGCTGAGGTTAGGAAAAAGATTTATAATTCGCTACTCAGTTGTATTATCAATGGCAAATTGTGCTGCAAAACCTATTTATCTGTAGACTTCTATGGTAACTTATAATTGATTTTGAAAAGTTCTGGCTCCTAACTGTTGAACAATATAAAGTTTCATGCAGAACAATTAAATCTATGTGGTCGTGCCTTGATTTGATATTTAATAAAAAGTACTAGAGAATTTTCTGAATTTTATGAAGTAGAAAAAGGTGACTGTAATATATAGGTAGATATAACATAACTAACCCCTTACTCAAATTCTTTTTCATTTATACATGTATAAGTTTACTTGGGTAAATTACACCAACTTAATTTTTTAAATAAAAATAATTTTCAGTTGTAATTGCATAGACACTGATATTTTTATAATACACCTTTTTCGAGAGAAAATCTTTGCATTACACAGAACGAAAAAGAATTTATATGTGTTTTGATTACATTTTCCTAGATAATACTGTTTGAATATTGATAATACTGATTTAAAATATGATAAAATATTTTACACATTTCAGTAAAGGTAGCTAATGTTACACTAAAGGATGGCAACACTGAACCATCAGGAACACTAGTAGTAACAAAGGGTGTATCTAAAACATTGACATGTACAGCAAGTGAAAGTAGACCTACAGCCAAAATTATCTGGTATATAGGAGACGATTATAAAAAATCAGAAATTGTTACACTGTCTACATTCACATTTACTCCAGTTATCTCCGACCATAACAAACAAGTTTACTGTAAAACTTCACAGTCAGGAAATCCAGATGTGTTTTCAAACAGAATAACACTATATGTTAAAGGTTGTGATTTTCTTTACATTCCTATTGTTGATTTGTCTCAATTTTAGCTTCAAACTGTAAGAAATGCTTTATTAGTTTTTATACTGCAAATATCTTTTTTTAACGAAGGATTTTACTAAAATTATGTTCTAGCTTCATCCCATAGTCAATCATTGATTTTGATTAAAAGATAATAATATTTATGTCTTTTTATAACGGTTTATTATTGTGTCTAATGGTTATATATCTAATACCTCTGATTTAAAAATAGTAATAAGTCACTTTCGGGGAAATTGATAATAAATGTCAGTCACTCAGGACAGCCCCTTAGGTGGAATAAAAACAGAAAAACAAAACAAACAAATATGAAAGCTTACAGACACTCGATTTTATATACCTTGATAAGTATAGCAATTCTATTAGGTTAGCGTCATGGGACATACTCGTTTTTATTCTTTTTGAAAGATGGTGTTGTTGTTTTCTTTTCAGTATTAGCTACCACTCCTAAAATCACAGATCTTACAACAGAAAAATTAGAAGGAGATCAAATAAAATATCAATGTACTTCCTCCCAAACACGACCTGTTGCTTTAGTAACATGGAAGTTAGACACTCTAGCACTAACTGATGTACAGAATACAGAACATAGTCATGCGAATGATCTTAAATCTGTTACAAGTGTTGTTACATTTTTAGCAAATAGAACTGATAACAACAAAACAATTTACTGTGAAACTACAATACCTGGTCAAAGTTTAATAAAAGCTCAAGAAACGATAACTGTGTATTGTAAGTAGAATGAAAGAAAATAAATATATCAGTTTGAGTTTTAGTTTGTGTAAAATAAAATTACAGGAAATATCCAGTGAAGATTTTATTTGAAAACAATATGTGTTTACAAATTATCATTAAAAGCATTATTGCTGTTGTAGAAATACTTTAAAACGAAGTTTATTTTGCAGTTATTTTTTTGTAGTCTAAAGATAATCAGAATTTGCAGTAGTAGTCCAGTCAGTCTGTAAATCGACCTCAAACAAATTGCAACAGAAAATATTTTACCTGGTATAGAAAGTATATGGAATAACATGAATCGTATCAAAAGTCTAGCAAAATCTAAGTTGCGCAATATAGAAAAAACGGGTTTTTATCGCGTTATTTTTTGTGATTTTTTCTGACAACAACGGTCTTCCATAGGCGAACAAAGCATCTCCAATACTCAGAATAGCGTCTGCATAATGGCGACAACAACAACAAAATAAGTGTAAACAAATTAAATGTCAGTAAAGTACACTGTACAGTGGGTTGGTATATTTTTCTTAAAATATTACAGATCATAATAGGAATTATTAATGTGGGGTCGTAAGTTTATTATGAGTATTTGTTGAAAATTATTACTTGTTTTACCAGTTATTTATCCGTTGAAGGTCAACAGGTGTTTCAAGCGATCTGTATTATAATATTCACGGAAAACAGTTTTACTCATCTAAATTACAACTCTGATTAACTCTTGTCTTAGTAAACATTCAAAAACGGCCTAAAAATGTGTATTTATAACAAGTTAATTTCGAAAGTATTTTTAAACTATGGAACGCCATTATCACTTTAATAATGACGAATTACGTTAAATAAATTCTGAATACTTTAATCATGTTTTATTGTTAAATGTGTATTTAAGGTTGCTTTTTTGTATTTTTAATATATATATTTTTTTAAATTTTTACATATATAATGTATGTAATGTTATTATTATTTCAGGGGTACCGCTTTGAGGCAGTCTTCATTGATGTATGCTTGATTTTGAAAATAAAAAAAATCCAGTAAACTGTATGTACACTAAATAAGTAAGTTTGCTTTCCTGTGATTTTTATATTTGTAATATTTTTACATATATAACACAAATATCACACATTATCTTTTACTAGTTTAAGTGAATATTAAACATGGAGGAAATAGAGCGATGTATGCATAATTCAATATATCTGAAATTATTTTCAATTTTTAATAGACATAGAAGAAATTTATACATGAAAAGGTGAGATGAAAAATTTATCAATAAACATACGTGATTTCTAGTTATGGTTTATGATTGGCGATTTGTATGAGTTCAGGGTAAACATGCACAGTTGATCCATAATTTAAAAGAAAATCTTTTATGCATACAATAGCACCTGAGAGAATTTGAAAAAGTGCATTACGTGTATAAGATTAATTCACAGCGATATATTAGTATTTCTTTCGGAATGCACACCTAAGTTGACTATAGAATAATTTTATTCCTTTTAAAATCAAAATTTAAGCAAATACATGTAACAATAAAAACATATGTGTATTCTATAGAACTTTATTTCACGTAAATATGAAAATAAGATTCTATTTCTTTCAAACTTCAAAGTAATTTCTATGTTACAGATTTCATCAACACACTAGAGCCAATGGGTATGCCCGATCATGTGTTCTCATGACACTGTGATGTATGCAAGTTAAAGGTAAAAATGCATATTAGTTGAGACATTTGTGTCACAAAAGCACTTTAATGATATTTTCATATAAGAAAACTTTTAAAGATGTCATAAGTTCCATATAGTAACATATCAGTACAAATATCTTTGAATGCATGTACGGATGGGCATTAGAAATGCTTAAAATTGAAAGGTGACATTTTTAAACTTAATATGTGACTTAATCTTTACGTTACTTCCAAAAACTTTAACCAGTAGGTATTTAATATTTTTATAATTTTAGATTAAAACCTTAAAAAAAACCTTAAAAAATAAAAGTGTGTCATATCAGCAACTTTGATCAAATAAATACACCTAAAACGTTTTAACAAGAAGCATTTTAGGAAAATTACATCTTATAATAACAAGTACTGTGATAACTGAAACAATACGTAATCAGCTACCAATAACCAGAATACAAGAACGCAAGGGATGATCCAGAAATACCCGTAATTTAAACAATAAATTCAATAATATTTATTCAAAGTTCATATAACAAACACTTTATTACTGCTTAATATATCCTCTTTACAAGGAAACAAGAATATGATAATTAAACACAGTATGCCTACCATATAAGCAAACATAGGATTTGTCACATTATGCAAACAAGGTTGATGCTTTATTGTTCTTATACATAGGGAATGACGGCATATTGGTATTTTTCAATCGCCACAGCGACGGAGAACGTTAACTTGTATTTATCTTTAAGATTACTTCAACAGTTTGGTAAAAAAAACTTCTATACCCCTCAAAAAGTTGTGTATGCATGACTAAAAAAATACTTGTGTCGAATTTCTTTTATCATATTAGATGTTTCTATGGTAAGCTGTCTGAACAGTTGACAAATATTTATGAAAGTGCCGTTTTCCGACGCCTTAATGAAGACGTTTTTGCATAAATAAACTTTGCAATTACAAATGATTACACAATAATACAATGTTCAAACGACGTGAAATTTAAGCAGGCTTTACATTAACTTTTCGGCAAGATTGGACATGATCCCTTTTTGTGTCGGACACTTTGGTGTATTTAAATCTCAACGAACGTCATGTTCTTTGAGTTGCGCTGCTGTGGCGTATCCACGCCTGAGACGATACTGGATGTTTTTAATCAATTATTTTTGGCAATTAAATAGAAGAAACATCGATCTTTGCGCATTTATAAATTTAATGAAGAAAACATAAAAAAGTTATCAGAATAATAAACAAATTTTGGGTAATTCTGGATCTGCATGCAACCTCCATATAATGTAAATAACAGATTTTATAAATCTTACAATATCAGTTATTGTTTTGTTTTTTTTTCAAGATGAACTCCTGTCGGATTTGTTAACGGCTGTTTGATGATCATACAAAGACAGTAAAAGGCAACGAAAAGGAATGCAAGGGAATAAATGCTGTCAGTGAGAAACGAAATGACAGTTTAAAAGTTGAATCGGAATAATTTATTCATATTGAGTATAGAAAGATGTACTGTAACCCACATTATACTAAAAGAGACACTAAGACAGAAAAAGAAAACACTGATGCCACCATTAACACCATTAAGATCAATGACTGATAAGTTTTCATACAAAAAAGATTGTTTATATTGTGGTCAATCTGTAAAAAGTAAGGGTAAAACAAGGAAGTGTGATGTTTCGCCAGTAATGGCACTATATATTTAAAACCCACTATTTTAAATATATGTATACAGAGGAATGACTGTTTGTCTGATACAGTGAGAGCAAGGATAGAAAAGGTTCACGACTTGCTTGTAGCCGATGCTCTTTAAATACCATCAAACATGTTTATGCTCCTCTAATTTCAGAACTGGAAAAGATATACCAGAATAATTTCAAGTGCTACCATCTAGTGATAAAAAGTGAAAGATTGGTAGACCAGAAATTAAAGAAGCGAGTGACGCTTTGTAAAAGTCATGAAATTCTTGTGCTTATGCTTAGCGAAGATATTTTACAAATTAAAATTTCCAAATATATTTTTTTTTACATTTTATGCTCAAATAATTGAAATTGACCTCCAAAAGGTCAATGCCACCTTTTTGACCCAATATCATGGTGTTATATAATGACTCAGAAAAAAATACAACAGATGTGCTTGAAAGTATTCAAGTTAATATAAAACTCAATATTATTATCATAGATAATATAAATTTCCTTAATGTTTCTTTATTTTGTATAAGATTACCCCACCCACTAGCTGTACAATGTTAATATAAATATTTCAATATATATGCATTAAATATTGATGGAATGTAAATTAAATTCATAAAACGTTGAAACTTGACAGTTTCCACATGTACATAAACCATTATGTATTTTCTGTTTAATATCATATAAAATACATCTTTCAATTAATTGTTAATCTACAGCAATGTTAATTGAAATATAATATTACCCCACCCACCTAAGTTAATTAATAAATTTCAGAAAGGTAAAAGTAGTTTCTTTAAACAAAAACAACTTTTTGATTACTTTATGTTACTATAGGGATAGATTAAGCTATATTTTTATGCATATTATATATAATATTAAAAGATAATGAAAATTGGTATTATAATGATATTCTTTTAGAAATTGCTGACAATTTCAACTATCTAGGAGTAGTTTTTAATTACAATGGGTCTTTTACACTTAATAATCAATACGTAATTGGTAAAGGTTTAAAGGCAATGTCTGTTTTATTAAAGAGCATCAATAAATATGAGTTAACCCCTAGCATTGCGTTGCAGCTTTTTGACTCTTTTGTCGGTTCAGTGCTCAGCTATTCTAGTGCTGTTTGGGGATTTTCTAAATCAAAGGATATAGAGCGATTACATCTTAAATTCTGTAAATCTATATTAGGAGTGAAACAAAGTACTTGTACTGCAGCAATCTATAGCGAATTAGGTCGTTATCCATTATTTATTAAACGATATGTGCAAATTATTACATACTGGCTTAAAATAATTAATAGCGATAATATCATTTTGAAAACTGCTATGTACGCTTCGTTTGAATTACATGAAAACAACAATCAATGTTGGGCTTCTAAAGTACATGAAATATTAAATGAGTACGGGTTTTCTAATGTTTGGAACAACCCATTTCAATACGAAGCCAAATATTTTGTTCAACTTTTTAAACAAAGGATGATTGACTGCTTTTTGCAAAAACTTTCTAGCGATATTTCAAACAGTCCATTGTTAAGTAATATATATGTACATTTGCATAACTCATTTGAAATGGCAAACTACCTGAAAATTCTCCATAACAGAACTTATAGAAATTGCATAGCAAGATTAAGATTATCGTCACATAAACTTCGGATTGAAACAGGTAGATATGGTGCTAATAGATTACCCCGAGAGGAACGCATATGTCAGCTTTGCGATAGTAATGAAATAGAGGATGAATTCCATATTATATGTGTTTGTAATAGTTACTCTAATATACGTTCTCTTTACATTAAGCAATACTACTACAGAAGACCAAGTATGTTCAAATTGATCGAATTATTAAGTACTGAAAAGAAGTCTGAATTAATAGGTTTAGGTAAATATTGTAATTATGCTACAAAACATCGAATTGAACTACTAAATGTTCTGTAAATCAATGTATAAATTTGTCTCTTTGTATTTAAAAGTGATATTGTTATTTCTTGAAATAACTTGATAATGTGTCTAGTATGAAACATTGTTAAATGGAATCTTATCACAGCATATGATTAAGATTAAAATCCATTATTTTTATATCTTAAAGAATGTGATCTATCTATCTATCTATCTATCTATCTATCTATCTATCTATCTATCTATCTATCTATCTATCTATCTATCTATCTATCTATCTATCTATCTATCTATCTATCTATCTATCTATCTATCTATCTATCTATCTATCTATCTATCTATCTATCTATCTATCTATCTATCTATCTATCTATCTATCTATCTATCTATCTATCTATCTATCTATCTATCTATCTATCTATCTATCTATCTATCTATCTATCTATCTATCTATCTATCTATCTATCTATCTATCTATCTATCTATCTATCTATCTATCTATCTATCTATCTATCTATCTATCTATCTATCTATCTATCTATCTATCTATCTATCTATCTATCTATCTATCTATCTATCTATCTATCTATCTATCTATCTATCTATCTATCTATCTAAAACTGATTGGAAAATTGTATGTGTGTGTATTACATTGAGTTCAAATTAAAAAAATAAATACAATGATACCCATATATTTGATATCAATTTTTGAAAACATTCTCCAATTTAGATTTTTCTAGACTTTTGTTATACAATATAGGTCTGGGGTTTCAAAACACTCAAAATATTTTCTGTTGCAATTTGTTTGAGGTTTGGCTCTATTTTGAGCTAGAATGACTGGACTATAGATATACTTGGCATTTTCATAAAAGGTATGTATTTTTGTAGCTTCCCATAATACAACCTATAATTTAGAATGAACTTTATAGATTTATCTCCTTATAGTTTTATGCATTAACAACTGTTGATTTTGTTGATATAGTTTTTTGAATATTTAAATACATATCCTTCATAAGAATTCATAGGTTTCAGGTACTGCAGCGGAACTACAATAAATGATGAATAACATGTGGAGTGTTTACTACATGATTTTGAGTTGTTATAGAAAAACTAATAAACTGTTGAATTTTAATTATAATTTTGCTTAATTCCTTTTTTGTGTCAATTTGACTTTGAATAAATGTAAACAAAACTTTTTATCATTTACAGGGCCACCATCACAACCTGTTATACCAACAAGCAGTTTTCCATTTCTAGAAGGTCAGACAGGAAAGAGTATTTATTGTACCTCAACTGATTATGGTAATCCTACAGCTACAGCAACATGGACCACACAATATGGAACACCTGATAGTGCAGATACAAGAAAACTAAGGTTTCCTAAACTAACGTATCAAGTTGATAGAAGTCCAGTAAAATGTCAGCTGAACAATTTATTTACGCAGACGAAAGGTCTTCAGATCCAGTCCATACAAGTGCTATTACAAGTTGAATGTAAGATACTTTAATTCTGTTTTAAATCACAAAGAACGATCTCGCTTTAAAACCAAATATCAAAATGTTACCACATCTAGCATTTGTAATACAATGTACTAAAAAGTTCCATTCATACGTTGATTCATCGTAACGTTTCTTGCTCTTGTTATTAGACTTCTTTGTCGTTTACGATACTTATATAAAAAGGTTTATGAACATATAAATGGTATCAATAATTACAATCAGCAACAATTTAAAAAATTCAAAGCTATATTCAGGATTGTCCCTGTATTTAGATGTTTGTTGTTTTAAAAAAATACTGAAATTAATAAATACATATACAAACAAAAAAAAAACAACAACCAAAAACAACTACATTTTAATGTTTGAAAAATCTTATCTATTCTTTACACAAATATGTACAGATTCTCCAAGAGTACAAATTATGGCGTATGGGAAACCAGTTACAACCATAACGAGAAATGAAGGTCAAACGGTTTCTGTTACATGTAATGCCACTGGAAATCCAACACCAACAGTAAGTTGGGTCGGACAACAGTCTAGTGGTCCTACTTTGTCATTTGATGATATAGATAGAGCAGACCATGGAAACTACACATGTAGGGCTACAGCAACATCATCTCATTATCCCAGTCATGACTTTGGTACAGAAGAAACATTGGCTATCGTTGTTTACTGTAAGTTGCTATAAATATACTTATGATGACAATCCATTATTTGTTTGGGGTATTGTTATTGATATAAAGTGTTACACCTTGCAAATAGAATATAAGCTACAATGCAAAATAAATTTTATTTGACCCTTTAATTTCTAAATCCGTAGGTGGTCATTTTTTTCCACCAGTATCATACTATACCAGCCAGTATGTCTTTGCACTTTGACCAGTCTCTATACATACCTTTAAAAGCTTAATTTCTGTTTTTGATATCAAAATCTCTTTAACTTTAAATGGATTGTTTCAAATTGAAAGCTGGTCAAATCCATTACTCTAAATACATTAAGCAGAAAAAGAGCTAAGTCAAAAGTTTTGTCAATTAAATAGACCTGTATTCACCTTTTGCAAACTTAATTACTTTAGTGTTTGATAAACTGATGAAGCTCATTGACAGCTTAACATTGTTTTCCTGTTATATTATGCTCACTTTTTCGTTGCCCAGTTAAATTGAATCAGAAATGAATTTTAAAAGATGACTATTTTAATGGTGATTGACAAATAACTGATAATTATGTTTAGGATATGATATGAAAACTATCTTAAATAAAAACAGATTGCCCAGCATTTTTATTAAATATACTTGTACATGTTATTTCACAAATTGTGTTTCTCCTGTTCTTCTTTACAAGTCTCTAAAACACAGTAACCACTCATAGTCAGTATTTTAGGTATTTTAGGTATTCTACTTCTTGATTTATTTTCCACAGAACGATATGTTCTTTTCAAAATACTAGGATGGGTCAATATGTAATGCAATAAAGTATATTTACTTTTTTCCTGTAAATGTCATTTGTAGTATTTATGGCAACAATGAAGAATGCTATGCATCTGTTCTGTTTGGATGGACATATTATTAAAAGGAAACCAGTTTACAAGTGTAAACAAAATGATTTGGGCCTACAAAAATGTTCGTCGACCATATATTGCCGTTTTGAAGATGAATAAAATTAAACTTTCCTGCACCGAATCGTTCTAACATTTCCAATACGTTGATAACTAATCAAAAAAAAAGAATTAAAATTGCGGATGCCGAAATGAATAGTTTATGACTTAATTGCATTTCTTACATTTATAGGTAAGGCAACGGGATATATTTGTAACAACTGTCCAAATACCTGTTCATGTAGTAATATTCAGGCAGTGATTGTAGGAATAGTACTTGGAATAATCAACGTGGTAGTCGTGGCATATGCTGGTTATGTTACAATATTACTGAAACGAAAAAATGGAAACACAGGTGGGGTTCTTTTGTTCTTAATTTACAATGAAAAACATTTTTTGATGAATATTTTATTTGTTTTTAAAAGTTTATTTGTTTTTCTAAACTAAACTATTGTACAGTTTTCTCTTTAGAAAGAAGAAATTATGTTTCACGATTGTTTGTTTTTTCATTGTCAAACATAGATGGATTTTCTGTTTTACCTAATTCTTATAATTTTGATTTTTAGCAGAAAATACATTTGTCCAGCCGGCTAAGTAAGTTCTCATGTTTCTTTAAAGTTCTATATATATATATTAAACAATGAATGTCAGTTAGATTGATGCTATTTGGAGTAATAGAAATCGCAATTTCCTATGCGTTATAACGTCGTTTTTTGTTTTCATTTTAATCATATTGTTTCCAAACGTTTATGATATAAATGTTTAACATAATTAAGAGTAGCTTATATATACATTGATCAGATAAAAATAAAGCAATGCAAAATGTGATTTAAAGAAATCAACCATAAAACAAACATTGAACTATTATAACTAATAATTATACTTGTATAAGGATAAAAATTTGATTTGATATATAGCATAAACGAGTATGCAAATATAAATAAATTGATGTATGGTTGTATCTGTACTGCAGACTCGCTGTGCCTTTATATACAAATATGGTGTTCTCAACAAATGATGGTGAGGACACACAACAGGGAACAGATCCAGATGAATCCGGAGAGTCTCAATATACGTCACTGAAGACCGAACTAAAAGACGATAGACAAACATATGACCAATTGAAAGTGTAGCAATTAAATGAGAGAAAAATTAAAGAAAAAATAAAATCATGATTTGGGATAACATACATTCCAAGAAAAAGCTACAATTCAATTTTAAATATAGGTGTACACATCGACTTCAGAAAATAGTAAATTGAAAGTAAATTTTCTATAGAATGAGACAACTAAACGATTACAGATTTAACACTTGCCGTGCAATCTATTTCCAATGCAATGTTATGTGTATATAAACCACATAAATTCTTAGAAACCATTGAGCAATCTTTTGTGTAGAGTTTGATAAAGTAACAACATAATAAAATCAAAGGGCCGCATGCTCTGTGGTATTTTCTGATCTTTCCTGTATAAGTTTATTTTTATATACTATTATTCATCTTACGCAGCGAATGCGTTTAACACCAGTTTGTGATTGATACATATGGAATTTTGCATGCC